GCTAGGAATGGGGAAAAAGAAGAACCAAGATGCATTATGTAAAGGTACAATTCCCAATGAGAAATGTAATTGTGTTGTGTACCTACAATGTACCAATAAAAGAATTTAATACAAAAAAAAGAAAGGAAAACCACTAAAATATTTTTGGTGAAGTGCAAAAGAAAGTCAATGCCACAGAAGGGTTATGAGCACCCTCTGAGCAAATCGTTCCACATTCTGGAATTGAGAGCTCTCAGAAAAATGCTGCCTCTTCACGCCATCGCTTTAAAACAAAGGCTCCCTGCTTGCAAGCCCTTGTCACTCACATGGGCCTCCAGTTGGCTTCTACTTTTTTATTATTTCATTCTTAAATAATAGAGAAATGCAAGAATCTGCAGAAATTTGGAGGAGGCCTGCAATATGAAGGAAGATCAACATGTAAAAATGGTTTATTTTTCATCCAACACACTTATAAATATCGCATTGTTTCTCTTATGTGAGAAACCAAAAGGATAAACAAGGTTCAAAATGTATAATAAACATTGGGAAATAGGAAGAAAAAGCTCAAATAGGAAAGGCATCAAGAGAAAGGGGAGGAGAGAGGAAGGAAAGAAAAAGAGAAAAAACAGAGAAGGGAAAAATGGAAATAAAGCTTTTGTAAATAAAGAAGAGAAAGGGGTTTGAAGGGACAGGAGGGGGTTGAGAATAAAGAAGAATCAAGATATGTCATGTACAGGCTACAGATTCCCTATGATGAATGGGATCATTATGTATGTCTAAAATGTACCAATAAAATTAATTTAAATAAATACGTAAAAGTTTTTCAGAGATGCCAAAGACAATAGGGATAATTCAATGAACAGAATAACACTACAAAATTCTAATTGACAGTTTGTAAAAAATATAGCTGAAAAAGCAGACCATATCAGAACAAGAGTGTAACTGGGCTTTTACTGAGAGGTCTGTAGCAAGATGGAGAATGTAACAGAATCAGGTACACTGGGGAATTTGTTAACAGATGGATAGTAGGATAAAAATGGGGAATAGGGATCAATTAGAAAGTCCATAGAAAAGGAAAAGCAGTACAAGAAAGGATATTAATTGTAGTATTATGTGCTGCTTACTTGTGGTTAACTATATTTTATTGCTCTACCCTCCCTGTTACTGATTTTCAACTTTGAGAATTAACTACTCAGAAGATATGATCTAACATTCGAAAGACTAACATCCAATACTCTCTAAAGTCTTGGCTCAAAAGGCCTTTAACTCTTGCCTTACACATGATTATTTTATTACCTATACATAATTAATATCCTTCTAAAGGGTGAAAAGATACCACAATGTAACCTATAGTTATCTAAGGATATTGAAATTTGGGGAATTTTAATTTGTTTATCCATGTTTTTCATCACAGTTTTCTAGATCTTCTACAATAACAATTTTAGTAGTCTGTTACACAGCTGACCTGCGGTGAATCATGCTTCACCTTTCAACCATGGAAGATGACTGGGGACGGGGGGTGCTAGGGATTGGACCCAGGGAGGTTTGCACTGAGCTGCAGACCAAACTCTTTAGTCACATACCTCAAATTCAAACTCAAGAATGGCTGCTCCAAAGCTAGTTGTTTTTCAGGTCTGCTTTACTACCTTGGGCACATAACACAAACGAAGCACAAGTAGAGATCTGAGCTTTCCAATGTTAATCCCTCTGCCTTTTCCACAATACTCAGCCAAAGTGATTAACATGCAGATTCCATTCATAAAACTGAACCTAAAACACAGCCTGCTTTGTATCTTCACACCTGGAAAGAGCTTGGATCTTAACACTGGCTCCCCTCTCCCTGACATGGCTCTTTCCCTCTAGACCATAACCATGGCCTCATCCAATCAAGATCATTGCCCACAGCCCAGCATATTGTCTTCCTCAGATAATCCCACAGCCTCTGTGACATGGGCATTTATTTCTTGAATAGATGGAAACATTACAGAGAATCCCTCAGTGCTCATGACAGTTCCACAGATCTGCACAAAGGCTGCCTGGGTGTTTGGAGATCACCCTGAACTTCCTGTGAAAAGGTGTCTGAATCTCAGCCTTTAGATCTGTGGTGTGCAAAGAGGTACATTTCCAGTGAGCTGTGTCTTCCTTATTTTCTTCATTGAGAGGATGGGAAGCAGAGATCCTGCCTTTTTCAAGCTATTGCCTAAACTCCATGAAGTACTAAAAACAGTGATCCTCTGAAGTGCGCTAGGGAGGCTGGGAATGTAGCTCGGTGGTACAGTGCTTGCCTGGCCTATATAATAGGCCATGGGTTCATGGGGTCAGGGATTTAGCTCAGTGGTGCCGCCGCCTGCCTCACAAGTGCAAGGCCTTGAGTTCGATCCCCAGCACCAAAAAGAAAGCAAGTGCCCTGGAGAGGTGACCTGGCTACATCCTGGACATTTGGTGGCCAGGACCCTGCTCTACTTATTGCAGGTTCCTCACCCTCATGTAGAAAAATGTTACTCAAAGGAGATGAATTTGTAGGCTCTAGCACTATAAAGATTTTTTTCTTTCCACAATACCTCTCCACAAGCAAACTCTAAGATGAACTAGATAGAAATACCCTCCCATCCCATGGTTTAGCCCTATCAGTCTTAATGGAAAATATCATCAAATATTGCTTTATCTGTTACCAAAATAAGAGGAAAACTCCCACTAAAAAAAAAAAAAAAAACTCATGGTCCTGGCGAAACCAGAAGTCCACTAGCAAATTCCAGCAGGCAAGGACTCAACTCTGAAAATTAATAATGACCCAGATTCTGTTTCTGATTCAACTATTGCAAAAATAGTTTATAACTCCACTCAGAAGCCAGTCTCCTCTACCATCATCCCTTCCACACCAATCACAAATAGCCAGTGAGACAGAAGGGAGAAAAAGACAGGCAACAGAGAAATCTCAGAAGACACGTGGAAACGAGCTTGTACATACTTCATTGTGGCCACAGAAATGTTCAAATTTTGGGTGTAATAAATAATAAACTGATAACCAAAGTTTTTTAAAATGTAAGAATAGATATTTTCCACATTGTGTGTGGTGTCCAATTAAACATGTGTAGTGTGTCTGTAGTATGTGTATGTGTGTATGTGTATGTGTGTGTGTGTTTATGTGCAAAATGAGGCACGCCAGCACTCTACGCAGAAAGAGCGTAAAAATCACCAATTACCTCATTTTGCATAGTTGAGTGGTAAGGGACAATGGTGGAATAAAGACATTGCACTGAATCCCCTTTTAATAATACACCACATAAATGAAATATCTCTTTAAAAATAAATAACAGGAGATGTTTAAATAGTGCAAGAATTATTTTACAAACACCTTAAAAAATGAAATTTTAGAAAGCCCTGCTTTGGGGCTTCTTCCCAGGGATGACTGCCACCCAACAGAGGGATACTGCACAGGTGCAGGGCCAGATGTCTCACTGTGCTCCACGCACGATGCAGTAGTACACACCAGTGTCTCTCAGAGCAACGTGGCGCAGGCTCAGGGTGCTGGACTTCCTATCTTCAGGGATAAACAGAGATGCTACTTCATTTGCCCCATTTGTCTTATATCCTTGAATAACAAAGCGTGGTCCCTGGTGGTGGACCTGTCGGTACCAGAAGATGTACTCATTTGTAGCAATGTTGGGGTGGTTACAGGTCAAGTTCACGTCTTGGCCCTCATAGGAGTCCATGGAGATGGGCTGAGTGGTCTCAGCAAGGCTCCCGGTGCCTGTGGGGGTGAACACAATGCTGGTGCCTGTCCTGGAACAAGGTGGATCGCAAGGCCCCACTCAGCTCCCCAATGGCTCTCTCTCCCAGTCGAATCCACCCTATCCCTGACTTCCCCACAATACACATACACACACAATTTACTTCTCATTTGTGTCCCAGGATAAAAAAAATAGTCTTTATATGTATTCCAGGGAGACCTAGGTCTACATACGCAGAGTTAGCAGTTCTGCTTTCTCCCTCCCTTGGATGAACCTAGAGCTGCCAGGAGAAAAATACAACTCAAAGCTTTCCCTCAACATCTTGGATAAAGAGCAATTGGGAGCAGGCCAGGAAAAAAACCTCTGCTCAACATCCTCAGGCCCAGATCCAAATTCTGCTTAGTCCTAAGTAACTCACCCAGGATCAGGAGCACAATCACTCTTGTCACCCGCTTCATATTTCAGGAGTATGGTAGGGATGAAGTTCTAGGCTCTTTTGCTGAGTCTGGGCCTCAGCTGAGGTAGGAGCCAAGGAAGACCAAAGCATAGCAGCAGCTGCCATGGCCCACGCTAGCAACTGTCACCTGGGGCTGTCCCCAGAAGAACAACCAATCAAGGCAGCAGCTCCACAGAGTGCAGTTTCCATTCAAGATTCAGCTGATCCCCCACAAAGGATGAGGGATAAAAACTGCCAGCACAAGAGCCTAGTAGCCCAAATTTCATTTTAGATCATTGTTGAGGTCTAACTGCTTATGATTGGGTCTGAATGGAGCAAATCCAATAAAACCTCAATTCCCTTAGGCTCCTTTGCCCCCATCCTTTTTGCACAGCCACAGAGGGAGGTCATCTACTGTAGTCGTCTGACATCATGGACTCATGGACACTCGTGGCTTGGGCAAAACCCACCTGACCTGGTACTTTATGCCCTGAAATGCTCCACTAATCCTTAGGTAGCCAAGATGAGGCAAGGAATTGTAATCTTATTCCAAAACAACTACAAATGAAGCAGTCTGAACTGGGTCTCCCAGCTCCTGACACCCTGCAGTCCTTTTATGATCCACCCAAGTCCACATCTAACATCTGCTTCTCAGACCCAATTTAACAAATCTCAGCCATAAAGAAGGACACATTTGAGTCATTTATAGGAAAAGGGTGCCTCTAGAGATCATAAGGCTGAGTAAAATACATCAGACAAAGATGGTCAAATGTCATGTGGTTTCCCCTATATGAGAAAGTATAAATAATTTAAAGAGGAAAATAAAAGGAAAGTGATAAGAACAGAGAGACTTTATGGAGATGGGAAAAGGATCTATGGAAAGGGGAGACAGGAGGGAAGAGAGAGGAAAGGAAACAGAAAGGATCAAGATGCAACATGTATGTAGCAATCGCTCGCAAATGAAAACTAATAAACAAGTAAACATTTATGGGAAACTACAAAAAATACATACAAAATATATTTCAGAAATCTAAAGGAAAAGATTTTAAATATCTTCATGAAGAAATAATAAATGTTTGAAGAGATATATTTACCTTGATCTAATTAAACACCACACAATTTACACCCGCATCAAAACATCACATGGCACTCCATAAACATGTGTAACTTTTATAGTTTTATGTCTCAGCTGAAAATAATTTAAATTAAAAAGAGTGTAGCCGGAGATTTAGCCCAGTGGTTTCACCACCTGCTGCGCAAGCGCAAGGACCCGAGTTCGATCCCCAGTACCAAAAAAAAAACACAAAAAGAGTGTAAAAAGAGTTAAGGTGTTATGTACACGCATCAACTCCCCAGGATGAATTGTAATCTTTATGTACTGGAAATTGTACTAATAAAACTTTAAAAAAAGAAAAGGAAATACAGTACATACTCAGTACCACAAAAAGAAATTTTTAAAAATCTAGGCATTCAGTGAGAAACTAGAGACATTTATAGCTAAATGGATGCACATTGAGGCAATACTCTTAAGTGAAATGGATAGGACACATGTGTAAATACCGAATAGTTTCTCTGGTGTGAGAAACTGAAAGTGTAAACAAAGATCAAAATGTATAATAGATGATGTGAAACAAGAAGGAGAGGTCTCAAGGGGAAGGGGAAGTGAAAGGGGAAAGGGAGAGGAATAAGTATGAGAAAAGGAAAAAATGGAAACAAATCTTTGTAAATAGGAAGATGTGGAGGGGTTGAGGGAAGGCAGGGGGATGGGGAAAAAATAAGAACCAAGATACATCATATAAAGATACACATTCCCAATGATGAATGCTATCATATTGTGTGCCTAAAATGTTCCAATAAACTTAATGAATAAAAAAAATCTAGGCATTCAGGGAAAAAGCCATATCCAAAAGATACCATTCCGTTAACTGAGTCAGCCAAATGCTGTAATAAACATGCTACATATCCACATTAATGTGAAAAGCAGGTGCTGTTTGAGTTCTTTGCCCATATAGTACAGAAAGGGAAAAAAATTACTGGAAAATATCTGAGAGATGCCTCTTCTTTGGATCAAGATTTTCTCACAATATTCTGAATGAAAAAATTTTACATTTTCCCATTTTAAAAAGCAGTAAATGTTAACGACTTCTAGTAATACTTGACAAAACAGATATCACAAGGCATGAAATAAATAATCAGGTTGCCCTCGGGATCGGGTAGAGGAGAAAAGAAGTGTTTATGAGGGAGCTGAAGATGGGAATACACCTTGCACAGAAGTGAAAGATAGGTTACACTTAGACTCAACTCCTTGCAACAGCGCCCCCCTGTGGTCACAACGCTTGGACAGAAGAAATGTTTCCCAAAGTGAGTCCCATAACCCTGCAACCTATGGAATGCCATACAGTATTTCTTTGTTGGATGGGGTGGCAGGTAGCGTGCCTTGGTTTTATGGAGCATGGAGTATACTTTCTGTAATGGAAGAAGCACTGAGTGAGGAATCAGACAAACTGGACTGTACACTCTGTACTTGATGGCTGTGTGATATTGTACAAATCACCTTCTGAGAGGCACAGTTTCTTCATCTCTAAGAGAGATTATAAGGATCAATTAAATGAGCATAAGTGGGCCGGGGATTTAGCTCAGTGGTTCTGCCGCCTGCCTCGCAAGCACAAGGACCCAAGTTCGATCCCCAGTACAAAAAAAAAAAAAAAAATGAGCATAAGTAAGGTTTTTCTAAACTAGATTGTTCTATAAAAATAAAAACTATGTTTAATGAGGGAAATACCACAAAACCAAAATGTCCTTACTTTTCAGGACAACAGGTGGAGCCTGGCCTTTCTGTGTGGCCACCTATTATCTCAAGTAGGAGAGTACGGCTGATACCAAGCAACTGGAGGAAGAAATATCGGAAGTTTTCTATGCCTCAGCCTAGAGCATGAACGTAATCATTAATAAGAGTGATGTGTTACAGGCTGGATTGGGTTCTCACAACTACTAAAAACAATGTTAGAGGGGCTGGGGATTTAGCTCAGTGGTTCCACAGCCTGCCTTGCAAGGACAAGGACCCGAGTTCAATTCCCAGTACCAAAAAAAAAAAATGTTAGAATCCTAACCCCTAATGCCTTACAATGCAACTTCTTTGCAGATAGCACCTACAGGGATAATTGAGTTTAAAATGGAGTTATTTGCTTTGGCCCTGATCCAATATGAGTGGTGTTATTATAAAAAGCAGAATTTGGACACAGAAATAGACCTGCACAGAGGACAATTTTGAAGAAACGTAAGAAGACAGCCATCTGCAAGCCAAGTAGAGATGGCCAGAACAGATCCTTCCTTCTCTGTCCTGAGAGAGCCACCTAGATAACACCTTAATTTTACTTGTGTGGCAATACATTTCTGTTGTTTAAACCACAGCCTATGACGTTTTGTGGTGGCAAGCCTAGCAAATTAATATAGTGTGCTAATAATATAGTGTGCTAATTCTATGTTACATATGTTGGGGTAGTTAATTCTATGGGACAACTTAGCTCTGTAAGGAAGACCAAGACAGCTTGTGAAACAACTTGAGGTGTGTCTATGTGGGTGTTTCTGGAAGAGGTGAGAGTTTGAATCAGTAGACCGAGTAATGATCTGCCTTCAGTGTAGGTGGACATCATCCAAGCTGTAGAAAGTCTGAGCAGGAGACAATGGCAGGGAAAAGGTGAATCTGCTTCCTGCACTTGAGCTAGTACACTCATCTTCTTCTGCTGCTGTGGATTTGATATGGTTTGAGTGTGCCCCCTCCCTCCTGGTTTATAAGTTGGAAATTGGGTTCTCAGTATGGTGGTATTGAGAAAGAGGTGTGGACACTTTAAAAAGGAGAGGCCTAGAGCAAGGTCACTGGGGTGCTCCCCTCAGAAGAGATATGGATAGGTCTGTGGAACCCTGAATTAGTTCCTGTGAGAGTGAGATGTTATAAAAAGAATGCCTGGTTTCTCTACTCTCTGACTTCCTGTCTCACCATTGTGCTGCCATGTGCCATGAATCCTTTACCAGATCCAAGTAGAAGCTGGTACCTTGCCCTCAAAACTCTAGAACTGTGAGATAAATAAGCCTCTCTTCTTTATAAAGTATCAGGCCTCTGGAAATTTGTTATAACAATGGAAAATGGATTGATACACTTTCCCTCCCTCATTGGTACCCCTAGTTTTGGGGCCTTGAGACTTAAATCAAAACTTACACTATCACTTGTATACACACATATACACACACACATATTCTCAGGTCTTAGGAGTCAGACTGGAACTTATGTCAGCTACACTGGTTCTTAGGTCTTTGACAATGAACTGTATTACATGAACGAATGAATGAATGAATGGCACTAGCTCTACTAATTTTCCAACTTGACAGTGGCAGATTGTGAGGCTTCTGAGCATCCATAACCTCAAGTCAGTTCCTATTTTATACACACACATGCTTACCAGTGCAAACACATCTGCTGACTCTGTTCTGTGGTGAATCCTGACAGACACATATGTGCTAATTTGCAAAACATTTTTTGTGTTCAAAAGGATCCGGGTAAACAGAAGTGTGTCACATGCATTGATGTTACCTTTTATATACACAGCAATAAAAGCTCAAAACCATTGTTAATGAAAATTTCAAAAAGTTCCTAGGGTTGTGAAAGAAAAGCTTCCTATAGCAAAAGATACCCACAAAATGAATATTTTAAATTTTTTAAGGTAGGATTTCTTTCTTGGTTAGTAAAATAATAAAGATACAGGTGTTCATCCAGATAGTCTCCTGGACAGGTGGCAGTGGAACCAGAGACTGTGGCTGCAGATTTTTTCATGCAAGCTATCTTTTCTACCTTTGCTTCTTTTCCAAGTGCAAGAAACAAAATATAGTTTTCGTGAGCATCAAAAAAATTTATTGCAAGGATTTTCCTGAACAAAAAGAAGCTGGTGTGCATATGTATTTGAAACCATAGATGTTAAAACTTCTGTCCGTATTTTTAGCACTTGCCTAAGGGTTTTCATCATTCTC